AAAATTATGATGGTGCATGTACAGACCTGAAACTAGACAGAAAAGGAACTGGAAATTAATTACATGCAGCAAACGGAGCCAACAAACCAAATCAATGAACACCAGTGCATAGGATTAATTTTAAAATGTTCATATGGTGAAAGCATTTTCCTCAGCGCTAACACCTTCTGTGTGGTGGTGGGGAACGAACCCCGGAACTAAAATCATACAGGTACCCATGAAGAATCTTTCAGATCATGCTGACCCTCCATATGCGTTTCTGCCCTCACTGCCAATAAGTGGGATCCGTGTTGGACAGATATCCAAACTGGGCTGGCTGATGGGGTTGGTTAAACATATCATATGCCCCGATTCCTCGTATTTCTTCTTCCCCCCCCCTTGGTACTACAGCCCCAGTGGGCCTAGGCCTACCTCAATGAACTTCTCCGTTCACTTCGGTTTTTCTAGATCTTACACATTCGGTAGGACTCCTTGGGCGGGTGATCAGCTCGTCGCAAGGCCTCTACCTGTATACAAACACAGAAAAACGCACACACACAAACTAAACATCCATGCCCTGAGTGGGATTCGAACCCACGATCCCGGTTTCCAAGCGAGCGAAGACAGTACATGCCTTAGACCGCTCGGCTACCGTGACCGGCCGTATTTCTTATACCTGCTAATAATTCTAAATTCTAGCTTTATCCCAGCCAGGAATGTTGAGCTAGTTTTTATATTTTCGACCTGCAAATGTGTTGTCATCGTTAAGGAGCTTATTTATGACTTGTAGGGCTTCGTCCATTCTTACTGTCACGTGATGTAGTGATTATAGACGGGGTTCGGATTAATAATCGGATTTACTGCACTCTTAAAAACTCGTGACTACACTTCACAAATCACTACCACACACAGACCAGTGTTATCAGTCACATCTTCACCGCGCTGCTTGGTAGCGATCTATACAATCACTCCCACATACGCCTTCATGGCGTAGTGCTTAATCAGTTACGCAAAGGGACAACTTTACCTTACTGTTTCGCAGAAATAAGGACGTGAGGCCCGCACATTTTGATCAAGCTAATGATATGGTCCGCCAGTCAAAATAATTGCCCAAACCTGGCATCCTCTCTGGCGATATGGTCGCAGCAAGGAAGCGTCCTGTCGCCAAACAGAAAACTTATGGACATGTTTATAACCTGGCATCACACAATAACAGTATGTAATATACTACGGTTGGAACCGTTTAGAATTTATTACGAAGTTTCTTTATAATTAACTTATATAACACCAATTAAGAATCAATAATTAAAACCATAGCTAGTATATTGACGAAATATCATGATTTCTGAGTACTGTGATCAGTGATCACTAATAAAACATTCGTCCAACTCACGATTCGTGAGCTGGTGGTTAATTAATTTGCAACATCTCACAGTTCGAATTCATAGTGACGTATTGATACAATCAGTCTCTTTATTATATTCCATCTTAACAAGCACGTCCCTTGAATTCATTTTGCGCAGCTCACCGGGTAGCGGGCCATTTCGAATGGCTACTGCTGTAACGAACTGTAATAGACAGAACTATAGAATTCATGTAAGTGAACCAGATATATATACAAACTTGTTTCGTATACAACATACCGTGTCATTAATTAATCTGGCCGCAACAGAACCCCATACTGTAATCACTACACTGAGACTGAAATCAATACCCCTCAACCTGGGAGTAATGGAAATCAGCAATAATATTGTGGCGTGCCGCCAAAAAACCGGAGCGATAAGACGTCCATTGATAGACAACGACTGCGATAAGAATATATACCAGCAGACCGTTGCAGAGGAATAGCTTAAACAACAAATGCGTTTCCCCCGAAATGGAAGGATATCCATGGAAACAATTACTACCAGAGGATAAAAAGGGAACCCTTGAACACGATGTTCACTAGTCAGCCCGAGGGCACGTTATAAAAGTCCAGCTTCGACGAGACAAGTTAGTTTTTAGTGTAGCTCTGACTACAGAGAAGAAGCAAGGTCGCATCCGACAAAGGCCAGAAGACTTCACTAAGCTGAGCGGTGCAAGTAACTGTGATAGTGAAGTTGCGAGTAATTGTACTTGTGAGTGTAAAAGAGATTGTCCAATAAACGTCTTAGCCAAATCCGAGACCCGCGTGAATTTACTCGTCGCGTTACATAGGCAACATGCGACAACTGCTGTCACGTGTATGGGTGACTAAAGACGCGGGTTTGGATCGGCAAGTCGATTTATTGCATATTCACTAGCTGTAACTACAAATATTTATTACAGTATTACTGATTTTCACACTTTCAAGTCCACCGTTGCATGCGTACTAGGATTCTCAGTTTCACTAGTCGTCTCCTAGTAACGGATCTCAACATATAAATTAGCACTTCAAATCACTATGAAGTCTTCTTGCATTTTCGTCTTTAATCACTCTGGAACCTCGGAACTAAAAATTCTTCTGGACTCACTCCTCCAGCTTACGACTGACTCATAATTCGTAACTGCCCTGAACGAATTCTGTCACTTTTACTTACATAGCCGGGGAATGGACATGAACTTACAGTAAATACATAATCACGTGATCGCTATCCAGTCAGTCTATTGGCACGTCGGTCGGATCTACAGAAAACACAGCTTCCTCTAGTGTTGCGCGTTGGACCGTGTTTACATAGCTATTGCCGCGCGTTGATCAAATCCGTTACAACATAGCCTCAAAACCACGTGCTAACACCGCACAATGAAAGAGGATCAGACTGTAGAAGGGTTTTGGATTGAATTGGATTTACTGACCACTTATATATACCACTCGGAACTGGAAGTAGTTAGAGCGCTACTGCTAATCTCCACAATTCACAGGTCACCACAGCGCCCGATAAAACTTTTCTAGCCTGCTGTTTTCAACAGCCGTTCCTTAGCAACGGCTTCTGACAACGGAGATTCTTCAGCCTTCCGCGCTCACGTCGCTACTGTCCGACGAACATCCCGCAACTGAACTCTCTAACTTACCAACCTATTACTTCACCTCACCTAACTGCACTGTACAGCCTGAAGTCCTAGCTATGTAGCCTCGGGGTAGACACAACAAGAAACGCTGCCTCCATTAATCCTTCTATTGTTGTCGTGGGTGGTTGCCTAGCGACATACTGGATATCGTTTCCGCGGTAACGTGTTTATGGAACGTTACCAAGCAACGCATGTTCATTCTCGCGGCCGTACATTGTAAAAACAAATTTTCACTTGTATTCACCATATTAAGAAAACTGATGTATATCTTTCTGATACTTACTACAAGATCTTGACAAGAGGAACTATATCGGACTCTCTCACCATCATTATTACAATATATGTATACGTATATGTATAAATGTGATACGTTCGTCTAATAGTTGTTATTATATACCTTTACAGGGTGTTTCCTGCTAAGTTTCATTTTATAGTTGCACAACATCCGACTTGAAAACGCAAACGAACATGATAACTTTTCTGCATATAGTTCTGGTAGTTTCTGAGCACCTGAATGTGGTCCTATATGACCGAAACACGTCGTAGAACTGACTGTACCTTAATGAAAATACGGAGTTGTATGACCGTAAACTGTGATCTTTCATATATTTACACAAACAGGATGAAAGTTTATAAAATAAATAAAATTAAAACATATCACAAGCGAGATGCTGTCACTTTCAGAGAAAGATTACAGTTGCTCCTGAAAGACTGGCCCAGGCTCCTCAGAAATACACACAAAGGTGCAGTTCATGAACAGTCCCATCCATGTTTACACTTCTGTATCATTTCAAACGGATCTGCAAGTAGCATATTAACAGCACACGACATCAGTTACTTATCCTTTTATATAAACAGTTACAGTAGAATCCATTTTTAAACGTCGCACAAGCCCTTTGATGTGCCATTATATAGTCCTTATAACGTAACATTTCTGTTTAACACATGGATATGTCTGAAGCAACCAGACTGCTATGAACAGAGAACAGCGACTTATGAATGCTTACAGTTATGACGGATGAGTTTACTTGCTCGAAATGGGGAAGGGGACGGGAAAACTCTTGCATCTTGTTTAGTGTAGTTTCCGCCTTAGAATGAGCTCAAAATACTGTTTCATGCCCTACTACGGTTCGTGTGATCATGAAATTGAATTCAAATACACATATCCTCAAGATTTCTAAACAAAGTTTGTAATCAACACTGAATTAATTCATTCCTTAGTTACAAAGTGTTCCTTTATTCTCTTTTGTGTCGCCTTCTCTCCTCCCTTTCTTTAAACATTTCGTGTTTTTTGCATAGCAAGACGGTGCCCCTACTGTTGCAGTGTCCCATCCTCTGAAGATGCTACAGGCAAAAATGTGTACATCTCCAACTGAACAACCACTTCCATAGCAAGACCTTGAAACGGGATATTAATTCAAGTGAGAACAGTCGCTCGACTGATTAAGACATTCTACGCCATTTATAGAATTCGAACGTGGATTTCTGTGTTCACAGAAGAACGCAATTGGACTCCCTCTCGAGACAATTCTGCCTGCTATTAGAACCTTCGCGCGTTGTGTACAGACTAGACTATTAACGACAAGTTCACATAACCTTAACATAATTACGAAATTGGGGTGGTGATAAAAAGTGTTCTAGTGAGTTCTACGTACAACTACGCTTTACATAAATTAAAATTATAAATCAGCAAACAATCTTTATCGAATATATATCTATCAACTAAAAACTCGACAAGAATAAAGAAGCGAATTGAGAATATGATAACAAAATATGCTTCGAATGTTATGATTACATAAAGCGCGTGTGAGCAAACGAAAGAAGTCTAAGGTAAAAACCTGGCTGGCATGGGATCAGAAATCGGTTCACCATCAACCACGAATTGAATAAAATAAACCGCTTTATATCCGTATAATACACTTGATTTCTTTTATCGACAAACCGAAGCGTCGTACTGAGTGCGGCAGTTCATTATTTCCCATCGGGAAGTTCGCGGTCGTCTGCTAAATTTAATACTGAAAAAAAAAAAAAAACGAAAAATTAAAATCCACATGACATTTGTGAAACCTGAATAAGATATGTAACTGAAGTCAAATCACAACCTTCTTCTTCCTCTCCGTTGGATTTGAGGTTAGCACAGCGGTGACTAGGAAGAGTACTATCTTTTGGGATGTGACGCCGTATAGTCCAACAGGTCTTCATCAACGTTTCGTAGAAACGTAATGCCTCCATCTTCAGGATGTCTTAGAATTGAAATCCCCAACGAAATGTTTTGTGGTAATTAGGAAATTGACCAAATACATATTCTAATTCCTCACAGAAGCTATTCTGTGTATCAATAACTTTATCCCCGTTGAAGATACGGAAAACAATATTAACCATCAACAAGACTGATAGGGGATTCATCGGAGGATGAATGCTCCACTCATGCCACTCGCCCACAGATTTACTTAATGCTCCACAAATAAGAGAGCAGATTGTAAATACGCAGTTAATTAAAAAAAATATATAAAAAAAACTTTATCTTCCGTTGAGCCATGCAAAATCAGAACAGTAGTATCACACTAGCCGTCTCTTTAATATCATATACATCTCGTCACTAACAAACTCTAACCTCGTAACTACTAATGTGAGCAACAAAACTCCTGACCCTACAGGTACTTGTAGCTGT